AACATAGTCGCCACTAAAGATTAAATTCTTTTGTAGTGAATTTTAAATAATAAAATTTAGGTGAAAGAATTAGTCTCACGTGGCATGTCAGGTTACTAGAAAATATGGAGTGTTAACTTTTAAAAGTATTTGTAGTCTCTTAGAGTAACATCAAGACATTTTTGCTCCTAAAATATAATGAAAGATATAAATAATCTATTTCGCATAGTTCAGCAACAATTTTGACCCTCTTTATTTATTTTCATTTTCATTGCCCACGTGAAGTCCACTTCCATGTGTCCCCAATTTGTCTAAAACCTTATCTAATCATTTGGCCTTTGGCTGAGCTTGCCCTAGTCCTCCCATTATTAGCTGGCTCATCATCACCTTCACTCACTTTTTGGAGTTTTCTTTTGCCAATTATCTTCGAATCTCATTTGCTATCATGAACTTATATACTCTTATGTCGTTTCAATATAGTACTATGAATATTTAAAAAGTTGATTTATGATCTTAACAAAATATGTTCACTAGTCACTTGATATTATAGAGTTAAAAATTAGAAATTATATTTAAATTATTTTTTAATTCATAATTTATATTTATTTATAATATATATTTTAAAATAAAATTTATTGAACTCGTAAGTAATACTTTAGCTCCGACTCTTATTTAATAAGACAACAAATGAGGAAAAAAAGGTGAGGAAAGCGACTAGTTCGTCCCCTCCCCGTAAACTGGTGGAGAGGAAAATAGGATGGAGAGATGCCTATTATATATTCACATTTCAAAGATAAGGGGGACCAACGAGACATGGTTTTGGGACCCACTTCAGGTGGGCTGTGGGACCCTTTATGCTCAGTATCTCAAAGAATCATCTATTATTGAAAGATTTTTTATTTTTAATTTGCTATGAAGTTTATTTTAATCTATGAGATAAATTATATTTTAGAGAAGCAAAATATATACTTGTACTTAGGGCCCGTTTGGCCATAAATTTTACAAGTAAAATTTGGGGAATAACTTGGCAAATTTTATTTGTCCATACACTTTTTTATTATTTGGCAAATTTTTCAAATTTCCAAATACTAGAAAAAAATTAGTATTTGGGCCAAATTTCATTATTTGGAAAGTTTTAGAAATTCAATTTTTACCCTTAAATTTTTATTTTACAAAAATTATATATTTATTGACACCAACCAATTCAATTAGCTCCCTTGTACATGCATTCTTTTGATTTCATACATTCCTTTGTTACAATTAGTCTTAATGAACTAGCAACTAAATAAAACATGAATTGCATTTATTTTATTTTGGTAGATAAATATTACGTTGTTGATGGTCTATGGAACACAAGAGGATTTTTAGCTTCATTCATTGGAATGCGCTATCATTTGCAGGACTACCGAGGAAGTGAAAGAGAGCCTAAGAATGGAAAAGAGTTATTTAACTATAGACATGCTTCTCTGCGCAATGTAATTGAAAGAACTTTTGGTGCGTGGAAAAGTAGATTCAGAATACTAAGACAAGGCATGAACAACTATGAATGTGACATGCAAGTGAAAATAGTAATTGCTTGCGCTATATTGCATAATTTTTTACGTGAACACCAAAGTAGTGATGGAATATTCAATGAATATGAAAATGATGATATGGTTGTTGATGAAAGTGACGAACTACTGGCTCAGGGTAACAACATCGCTTCATCTTCTCGATCGTCTGATTCGAAAATGCAAGCTCATCGAGAAGAGATTGTTCATAAAATGTGGAAAGATTATATTAAAGAATAGGTTGTACTCTTTCAGATGAGAAAGTATATGTTCTTTAGTGATTGCAATATTTATTTTCTTTTGTTTTCTTCTCTTTTTTTTCCGAATTTATATTAGTTGTATTTTCATTATCATGATTTGTACCAAGACCTTTTCACTATACGAATATTTACTGTAATGATTCTTGTTGATTGTTGCGGAA